AAGGTTTAATAAACCTTCACGTCGTAGCCCAAAAAGGCATTAATAATGACTCTTAACTCTCATTACAAGGTGGCATTTTAAGAGAATATTTGTGGCTTAGTCATCCCCTAAAGAGGGGCCCACAACCAAAAGTCTTATGACAATCTTCCTACATCATTATTTACTATATTATTATTATGGAGAGTGGAGATATATGTGCTAAGAATGGACTTTAATTCAACATGGAATGGAAACGTTATTGCTTCAGCAAGGAAAGCCATATAAAAGTGTGATCAAATTCACCAAAATGGAGGTGTTCTACATCTACCAAGTAACGATCTTCAACAAGGAATTCATGAGAAGTTATACTGTGTAATCGCAACGGGATTTTACGATTCTAAGAGAGCACGGTACAATATTTCTCAACAATATCATACGAATTTTTCCTTACTTCGATTCGTCGTTACGTGTTTCGTCGCGATTGGCGTGTGTTAGAAGGATTGTCAAGAGAATCGGCTCAGGAATGTTAAGGCTACATCCTTCCTTTATTTTGTCATGATCTCGTAACTACATGTGTTTGATAACGAGGCATAAAGAAAAGTTCATACTCTCGAATTTATATACATTATCCTAGTCTCATAAGTTACACTATCCTCCCTTATCAGGACTTAATATTCAATTGAGTATTGTTTTCTTCCAGTTAAGAGAGCGGCGGGTCTATATATATACAGTATTATAGTATTTTCACCACTATCGAGCTATAATCGGTGGGCAGGCCCCTATTGGGCAACCTCTGATCAGATGGTAAGTTATATACCAAGCCTAATGTGGCCGAGCACCTATGAGCGAGCCCAAAATGGCCGAGATACAGAGCCTAGTATGGCTGAGCGCCTATAAGCGAGCCTACTACAGCAGAGCAGTTATATATATACTGAGCCCTATAAGGTCGGACAGCTATTTTACTTACTATATTGAGAGAATTGAGTCAGTGTCAGCAGGTAACCATATCTTCAGATTATTTTTGACTCCCAGTTACTTTTAGTTATTATATTATCAGTTTAGTTTCAGCTTTCAGTTATTCTATTGCCTTACATATTCGGTATATTATTTCGTATAGACAATCAGTTTGACGAGCCCTCATAGTAGGACGAGGTTAGCATTCAGCGAAGGATCGGTAAGACTTTACCTCATTCGGAGTGCAGTCGAGTCTATGAGTCATCGTGTCAGGATTTTGCTACAAACTTATGGGTAGGCCGGTACCCTGTCCCATTTGACGTCTAATACTCTTAGAGGCTTTATAAATAGAGGTTCATTTTGTACAGTATGTCAGATGCCTTGACGGCCCATATGTATTCATGTTTTAAGAAAGATGGTTCATTGATACAGTGTTTTCCTACTTATAGTTATATATTACAAGTTGTGGCCATATTGGCCCAGTTACCAATGATAGTACGATAAGAAAGATATATTACGTTGGTACTCGGTTGAGTAAGATGTCGGGTGCCCATTGCGGCCCTTCGATTTGGGTCGTGACACGAACCAACCAACCCGGTAAGATATAATACAGTTGTAAAGCACAAAAGGAGCAGAAATAGGGGAAACGGGGCTATAACTCTCGAAAGGACCGGCCGGATCATTACAACATGAAATAATCATGCCCAACTTCATACAATACTTGATATTCAAAATAAAAAACAAAGTCTTCATCTCTTGCACACCAAAGAAAAATAGCAAATATTTTTCTAATATAGGATAACATAAGAAATAAAATTGACATAATTAGTTTGCAACATTTTCTGACAGCTTCAACCCAAAAAATATGCCCGCTAACATAGAAATAGCACTTGTTGTATTTTTATTTGCTACCACTTCTTCACTTTCTTCAACGGCCGAGTTTGAAGATGACTATTCCTGTAAACAACTTATTTTTTGAAATTTGTTGAAGGCTTCTAAGGCTTCATCATAACATTGGAAAGCTTCAAAGTAGCTACCCTCGACTCCAACAAGCATATTAACACACTCAAACCAACATTTATATAATTACGGCTTCTTACCACAAAATACAACAAAAACCATAGATTTGAGATTTTTTTTACCTTCAATTGATTTTTCAAATTCGTTGAACGCCGATATGGTCGCATCGTGAGATTTGAAAGACTGGAAGATGCTACGCTTAACTCCTATAACCATAGGAGAACATTCACTCCATGAGTAGTGTATTCCTGGTCTTTTACCAGAAAATACAACATATACTTTTGAAGCACTATTCTTCTTCGACTGCACTATTATTGATTTCTTAATCTATTCACTCACACTTAGAAGAACATAGAAATTTAAATGAAGGTTTGTTTAAGTATGTTTTCGGCCATCGAGATTTGTTTAAATAGTAGGGCTTTGAAGACCTTATTATACGAAAAATATACGAAATACATAATTAAATATATGTATATAGATGAATAAATTCGAGATATATACGTGTATACTACAAAAAAAGGTTCAAAAAATACGTAAAAAGATTTTTATTTTTATTTTTATTTTTTTAAAAAAAAAGAGGTTTATGGGAAGTAGGGTTTGCATGCTTGATATCTTCCATGTATTGGGAAGACAAGCATTAAATGGGTGAGAGAGAAATATTCAAACATAATTGTAAGGGCATTCTCTGTATAAAGTTTGTCCAGAAACCCTAATTTGGGTATGAATTTACTTTAATAACCTCATTTGGGTCATTGTGGCCAAAAATGATGTGGCCCAAAGGAATTTTCCCTTAGGAAAATGTTTTTTGCTCTTTTTGATTGTATATAAACTCTTTTATTTTTTGAACTTTCGACCAGAGAATTCCCCATTTGATGGACACCTTCAAGAACTTCACATTTATCATACCATTTGAAAAAGGAAAGAAAGAGATAAAAATTATCAATTTTTTAATTGGAAAATGAAAAATGTGATTATACCATATCTGATCTTATGGAGGATCAGAGTATCTTTTGATCATTAAACTCCTTATTTAACAAATCAATGACAAAGTAATTCTTTAATGCATGATGCGACAATGAACTACCAAAATCATGAATTTAGTTATTATGATGCGACAATAAAGGAGAGAAATCATAAATTTGGTTAGAATACTCCAGAAATAGAAAGAAATTAGAAAGGAACTTTAAAACATCAAAGAGCAAGTGCGTATGGCGTTTCCCACAAGGCCACAATTTACGGAGGAACTAATAACTAAGTTCTAAATTTACTTTATATATATATATATATATATAAGAGCAAGTGCGTATGGCGTTTCCCACAAGGCCACAATTTATAGAGGAACTAATAACTAAGTTCTAAATTTACTTTATATATATATATATATATAAAAAATAAATTTAGAACTTAGTTCCTCTATAAATTGTGGCATATATATATAAAGTAAATTTAGAATTTAGTTATTAGTTCCTCTATTTAATTTGTTTGAATCTTTTTTGGAGTACGAAAATTAAATTGATTAATTTTCAACGTAAATTTGATCATAGATTTTTTAATTTTTTAAATAAAATTTATATATTTAAAAATTATATAAAAAATACTATAAATCAGAACAGGTAGCTATTCAAAATATTTAAAAACTACTTACCAAGAATATGATCAAAATAAACTTTCTTTGACTCACCAATTAATAATAAACTCATTCCTTTTGAAATAAAATAATAATAATTTCTAAAATTTGAAACCCATAAAATATTAAATTTTGAATCGACTCTATCAAATATCAATGAGCGAGGGTTTGTCGGGGGAGCCTGTGGCAGTACAGATGATGGATTTACCACCAAATGACACATGAAAGCTAACCATTGACTGCTTTCTGTGCTCACATGAGGGAACAGTAGTCCTTTTAATTCGTATTGTTGTTTAGTCTACCTGAGGGGCATGCATGAAAATATGACACGTGTTCCATGATGAAAAAGCTATTTTCCTGTAACGCTCTTCTTCTTTTTTTTTTAATTTGTTTAGTGTAATAACTCTTTAACTTTAATTTCATACCGCAATAATATGCATGTATAGTTATATAGAAGTGTCATGATGTTTAAGGTTATAAAGTTTAAATATTTTTTTTGTGTCAAAATCTTTTTTTCCTTAAATATTAGTATATGAGCAAAATATTGTATAAAAACTCCAACAGGGAATATTTCACCGCATTATACGATTCTTTCGCGAAGCACTCTTTTTGCTCTTGCGGCCGCAAGCAAAGAGGTTTCAAGATATCAGACGACCATGTGACAATAAAAAAATCCGAGCAAATCTCTGAGACAGCGTCTTTTTGAATTTTCATTTTTTTACGTAAAAAAGAGTTGGATCAAAGGCTCGTCTATGTATCTTCCGTAGAGGAAGGGCCCTCAAGCATCAAAAGCGTTAAGAAAAATGGGATATTGCTGAGTCGCTACTTACACACGAAGCTTGTTACTGAAGCGTTAAATGTGTTTTATCGATAGATGTGGTGGGATGAATTGAGATACCTCCGCATTCATGAGTTAAAACTTTGAATTAAATGCACTAGTACATTTCGAATACCACATTTTATAAAAATAATAAATTAAACATGGTACTCCCTTCGTTCTAATTTACGTGAACTTGTTTGATATGATATGGATTTTAAGAAAAAATGAAGATTTTTTTAATTTGTGGTCCTAAACAAGTCAAAAAGGGGCCCAGAGTATTTGTGTGGTTATAAAAGCTTCTCATTAAGAGTAGAATTATAAGTTTAAGTAAAATTGTTTCTAAATTTAAAAATAATTATTATTTTTTAAATAGACCAAAAAGGTAATAAGTTCACATAAACCGGAAAGAATGAGTATATATTAAGACGAAGGGATCGGAGTAGGTAAACAATTAAAATATGAACGAAGATATAGAAATTCTGAGTTAATGGGGCTTTCCAAGAAAGGCCAGACAAGATATTGTTTGTTTATCACTTGAATGAATAGGACATAAAAGCCAAAGCCGTATAAAGACAACACACTAGTTACAAAGTTGTCCTCCCACTTTTTTATTGCACCTATATTTGATCCTACTTAAGCACTCCTCTATTCAAATCAAGCTGCTTTCTGATTTGTGTCGTAAGTGGTTTTGGTTAATAGTGCAAGAGAAAGGATGGAGGAGGAGAAGCTGAAGAGTTATTGTGTAACAGGAGGCAGTGGCTTCATAGGTTCATGGTTGGTTAGGTCTCTCCTTCAAATGGGTTGCAAGGTCCATGCTACTGTGCGCCATCTAGGTTCGTTTCTGATCTGCTCCTTCTTAGGATCACTATAACAATACTAGTAAATTTTATTCATTATAACAGTAAATTTATTAACGTCCATCAATATTGAGACTTTATTGTCATTGTAAAATTCAGTTCTTGATATGGATATAGGATTTAAACTCAATGGGTTTGGCCTTTAGANTATATATATATATATATATATATATATATATATATATATATATATATATATATATATGTGTGTGACAAAAAATATTGATTTATAGTGGATAAAGTTCACATACACTAATATGACAATTCAAACATCACATTATATTGTTTAAGGTAATCATACCTGAAATTAACCCTTTGATTTAAGAAAGCCAGAAAGCCAAACTTTTGGGTTGGAAAGGAAAAAAATGTATCTTAAGGGGGGAAAAAAGTAGGATTATAAATAATTACGCACAAACATATCAATCAAATGTGTAGTAGCTATCTTTAAGGCTTAAAAAGCCGCTATCCACCTTTAGTGGGATTTGATTCAAATTAAATTAGCAAAGAGAATATAAAAAGAGTATTAAATATGATTACGAAGGTGTGGTTGTTACAGCTGTTAGTTTTTCTCAAACTGTGTAACAGTTTACTTTAGCATTCTTAGGGTTTGTCCGGTAGGGCGTATAAAAATAATGTTAAATAAGATGTATTAGTAATGCATGAGTTAGTAATGCAAGCATTAGTTATACAGAGATTATTTTTTATGCATTATTTGGTGTGGTATATTAAAAATTAAAATGCATTGTATAATTTTTAAGAAATTTAATTGTTTACAAAAATGTCCTCCATATTCTTTAACTTAAGGGACTTTAAGGATAATTTTGTCTTTAACCATGCTAATGCATGCATTAATAGCCTTTGTATTGCTAATGCCATGATTTTCTATGCATTAGCTATACATAGGATAATACCAAATAGAGTGTATAACTAATGCTTGTATTAGTTATACATAGGTTGAAAAAGTATACCAAACAAAGCATTACTAATACACAAAGCTAATGAATGCATTATTTTCTCTAACACACTCTATCAAACGACCTCTTAGTACATTCGTAAAACAAAATTTACTGCTTCACTGAAATCAGAATATGGTGTACGACATATTCATGCGGCCTGTAAATTCTATAGTACGTGTAGCGTGCGAAGATAGCTCTAAACATGTGTTAGAGCTATCTAGGGCGGATGCAACTTACACTTAATGGTTCAACTAAATTCAGTATTATCGACACGAAACATAAATATATGAAAAATCACTAAAAAAATATTTTAGTAACAAATATTGAATTCTGAACTCATAATTTGAAAAGTACAATGTATTTTGTCTCTTAAATTCTCAAAACTGATATATCGTGTGGATTTCTTCAATTCCAAGTTGCCATTCAAATTTCATGATTCATTTATTTGAATGAGCAATAACCCCATTTAGAGAGAATTGTATTAAGAACTGCTCGCCATGAGTTCATTCGGAAGTAGTATCACAAATTATTTCTCAGTCTTGACCTTTTCAGAGAAATCATCACATTTGTTGAAGCTGCCGGGGGCGAGTGAGCGGCTAAGATTGTTCAAAGCTGATTTAAGAGAAGAAGGGAGCTTCGATGAAGCAGTGAAAGGTTGCAGTGGCCTATTCCATGTTGCTGCACCCATGGAATTCGGGGTACAAGCCACACAAAATGTTGGTAAATAAATATACGCTTAATTAATTCTCTAAACTGTTACTACTTTTGGAGTTCAAAATTAAATTTCTTTGCTTATTTAATTTGAACTTGAAGACAGCTATGTTCAAGGAAATTTCATAGAGCCAGCAATCCAGGGCACCTTGAATGTTCTGAAATCTTGCTTGAAATCTAACTCTGTAAAAAAAGTCGTTTTCACATCATCAATCAGTACAGTGACTGCCAGAGACAGCTATGGAAACTGGACACCTCTTGTGGATGAATCTTGCAAGATACCTGTCCAACATGTTAAGCACACAAAACCTAGTGGTTGGGTAATTCTTTTTCCCCTATACTCGGACTACTAAGAAATAAAAGAAAGACTTCTGAGTATTCTTAGAATTTGTGCTAGCATTATGTTTTTATGAGCATGTCATTAAGAGTAAAACAGAAAGTTTAAAAGAAAAATAATGTTCTTTCTTGTCAGACTAAAAAGGAAACGATATCATATAAAATGGAACAGATGGAGTACTAGTTTAAATTATTTATCATGACACTAAGTGCACTTCGATCTATTAGTTTAGTTTGTAATCGGAAAATGTCTTTGGTAGGTTTATGTACTAGCAAAGGTTTTAACAGAGGAGGCAGCATTCCAATTTGCAAAGGAAAATGGCATTGATTTGGTTTCAATAATAACACCAACTGTAGCTGGTCCATTCCTCACTTCTACAGTTCCTTCAAGCATTCAAGTTCTCTTGTCACCAATAACAGGTTTTCTTTCTTCCTGTTTTAATTTAAACGAATTTTTTGTTCAGGTTACATTTGTCCAACATTAACTTTATAACTGGTTTATTTTCACATGTTACTTAGCTTTACTCCTTTTAATTACTTTCATAGGTGATCCAGAATTGTTAGCTATACTCACTGCTGTGAACTCAAGAATGGGATCAATTGCATTAGCTCATATTGAGGATATATGCTTTGCTCACATATTTCTCATGGAGAAGGCGAAAACAGAAGGACGATATATGTGCTGTGCTCGGAGTTGGGCTATGTCTGAAATTATTGATCACCTCATAAAAGAGTATCCTAATCCTGCTTTAGAGAGGTTATATATCCATGTCTTCAGAAAAGTTACAGTTAATGTGAATAATTTTGCAATAAAGTAACAGTCTAATTCTCAATGTTTCAGGATAGCAAGAGGAGGACATGATTTGGTGATCCCTTCCGAGATATCTTCAAAGAAATTGAGAGATCTGGGATTTTCTTTCAAGTATGATATCGACGATATCATTAGAGATACAATTAGTAGCTGTACGGATCATTGCTTCTTACCTTCTATTCAAAAGTAAGCATTTCTTCATTGTATGAGCTGAGAATTTAACTCTTTGAGGTAATCTAGATGTTTTTTTGGTGATTGCTTGTAAACAACAGTAGAAGTGCGACTAGTTCAAATTGGAAACTTCACTTATGAACATACTATATTCAGAAACTGATATTGTATTCTTAAGAACTTAAAAATTGTTGTCTGGTTGTTGAAAATGCCAGATTAGCAAATTAATAATTTTATGCAATAGTTTATTGTAATCTTAAGTAGTTTGTTTGCACAAAATCCCTTCATGTGGCCATGTTGTATGGGATTATCGCTGTGGCTACTTGATAAGCCCCGGTTACTATCATTATTTGAGAAATCATTCTGTATTTACTTCCACAACGATCTTTCAAAGATTTTTTATTATATTTTTAAGTAAAAAAATTGTGATTTGTTATAAATAGAATTGTATTTAAGGTGAATATCTATATTTTAAAGAGATTCTAGGGTTTGTTACTTGGTGGCTAAGTCACTTTCCCCACGTTGTAATTCATCCCAAATCAATAAGATTTTCTCTCTACTTTTTTCTGTAATACTCTTTTTTTTCTTTTATTATTTCATAACACGTTAGACTCTAACAAGTTGAACAGAGGCATCTACTTTGGTCACCAGGTTTTGGGATACGTGCATGGTGCTCAACTTTTACATAATATTTGAGCATAATGATTGTCAATTGTTTCATGAACTTCCCTTTTCTCTATTAAATTCTTAACATTCTATAATTTGATTTTAAATGCAAGCAAAGACAATGAATTTTGATTATAACTCTAATGGAGTTTGTAAGATATTATAACCACCTGAAGTGGTAAAATTTTCATGTCTTGCCATGATCAAATTCATGTATGATTATGAGCACAAGAAGTGGAAACACGTCCCATTGAATTTACTTCATTCTCGTTCCCTTAAGAGAATATGATAGCAATATGCAATAAGTCTGAAAGAAGATAAAATTATTACCGTGAAGGTATCAATGGATGTGGATGTGGCAATTGACGAAATTATAATCATTATCATTGTGTAGTGAGAATAATAAGGATTCTCAAAATAATACTTCACTTTGCGAAAATAATGTTTGTCATCGATTTGACATGAGATTTTGTTAAGCACATATAGATGATTATGGTCCATTCATGATGTGAATGTGACAACATGTGATTTATGAATACATATTCATTCTTGGAAGAATATAAATGTGCTAGTGGTAGTGAATATACCACACTCACCTCTAAAAGGAAGTTTGAGATGAAATAAGAAAATAATTTCATTATTATGGCATAAATGGTCATTGATCACGTACCTATTGTGATTATGCCAAAATATTATGGCAATGTGATTATTAAAGGACAACAGTAATGTAAGAAACATATCTTGCATATAATTTTGATCATGACCATAATGGTATAACTTTCTCTTTGAGAGAGATATTCACCATATGGGTATTGATGAATATATGGCAGTACAAAATTAATTGAGAGCTCTAGAATAGCCAATTCTGACTATTTTGGAGAAATAAAATTGATTATCAGTAAGATATTGTGTCGTAGTAAGTCTCATCTAAAGTATTCGTGAAAGCGACTGGTTATATTGAGATTATTAATAAATAAAAAATTTAATTAATATATTCTATTACAATAACTTGTAATGGGGTAATATGTATATGAAAAGTTACTCGCTTTATTCTCCAGTTTGTACTACACAAACAAAAGAATGGCACAATAAAGTAAAAGTTTATTGATATAAAAACTCATATCATAATAAACTTGGAGTTTATTCATAATTGCACATGTCATGGTGTAAACATAAAGTTTATCAATATTGATAATTTATCCAAATAGCATAATTGGTTTAGCCATATTAATTTAAGTATGATGTGCAAAAATAAAAGAGAATTCACATGGGTAAATATTAAAGAACTAAAAAGTTGTGTATGAATTCTCTTATGTTGCTTGTTCTCATTAATTAATAGACCATTCAACCATCTTCATTCACATTTGGTAAATGAATGACATACTCACTGCCTTTAATGTTCTTATTATTGTTGTCTTATCTTAAGTGAGACTCTATAAATTTTATTGAGAATGTCAGGGGTGTACAAGTGGCTCTAGTAGGAGACTACTAAAGCCTTGATTTAGGTCCCCCAAAATTTTTCATAATGAATTTTATAATTTTATTTCAAATTAGACAATATTAATGTTTGTAGAAAAAATAAAAAAGTACAAACAAATTTTAAAAAGGAAAGAAAGGTGTCAACTCTGTAACAGTAACAATATTTTTAAAACTTTGAATTAAACTACTTAAATTTTCGTATTAGTAAATACATGTTTTACAACAATATTAAAGGTAACATATTGTAAATACATGTCTAACATCTCATTTATTTTTTAAAAAAATTCTAATATAAAAAATAATATTACTATATGAAGTTAATTAAAGACTTTATGTCATTTAAGAATATATACTATAAACAGCAAGTATGAAAAAAATGACAAGATTAATTTTTTTGCATATATGTGTATATGTACTAATAAAAAAAAAAGTATAAGGCCTCTTATTAAAATTTGGCTTTAGGTCACTAATTTTATGGAGACGTCCTTGGATCTAAGCAGCTATTGAATTCATGTGAATCATCGGTATGTTATGTGCAGCATCGCCCCTGCTGCATCGACCATATATTAATTAAGGGAAAACCCACCATGTTTTTATCCCAAGACACAGTTTGAGTGCTTCAACAATTTGAGTGCTTCAACAATCAACATATATGAGTTATGTGAAGTTTATTTTATATCATTCGAGAATTAAAGTACCAGTGAGTGTGTACTAGAAAGAAAAAGAACAAATTAAAGTGGCAAGAGGAAGACTTAGGAATATTCCACTGCTCTTGATAGAATTTGCTTGAGTAAACTAAAGCTGCTCTTATTTTACAAATTTAAAGGACTTTTACATTCACTTTAATATTAAGTTAATTCAATCTTTAAACTTAAATGATTTGCGCAGATCGGGCTCCCTACCATTTGTCACGATCCGAAATTCTCACCTTCAGACCGTGATGGCACCTAACATTTCACTTGCTAGGCAAGCCAACGTTAGAATAATATTATTCATTTTTAAAATAATTTTTAAATTTATTAATAACAAAGTACAAATGCGGAAGTAAATCTGAAATGAAGTAAATAATCCTTAAAAATAACGGTGTCTAAATACCATCCCAGAATTTGTGTCACAAGTGCACGAGCTTCTAGAATAATACAAATAAAGGTCTGAATAAAATAAAACTGTCTGGAAACAAACACACAGCTAAAGTAAAGTAGACGGGGACTTCAGAACTGCGAACGCCGTGCAATTATATCTCAAGTCTCCTCTGAGTAGCTGAAATCCGAGCAAGTCTATGGTACGCCGCTGGGACCAACTCCGAAATCTGCACAAGTGCAGAGTGTAGTATCAGTACAACCGACCCCATGTACTGGTAAGTGTTGAGCCTAACCTCGACGAAGTAGTGACGAGGCTAAGGCGGGTCACTTACATTAACCTATACGCAATATTAGTAACAACAACAAATAATAGAAATAATCAGGTAACTCATTTATAATAATTGAAGCCAACTCAACAGTCATAACCAATTATCATTCCCATCAATTTCCGTTGCAGC